TATATAAAATGAGAACAAACCCTACCCCTACTAGCACTGAGGATGTTACCTTTGGTAATGAAACTATCTGTAAGAAAACAATCAAGCTCAGAGAATCCCAAGGACCCCAGAATATATAGTTCCTTTGTGCTATATGCGTATAATATGTCCCTCAATTCTCAAATGTATAGGTTATTTGGACTGCAAGAAAAACCAAGTGTTAGTTATCAGCCATGTCCTTTTCTTTTGCAAAATCTAATATTGTAAGACTCTTCCCCTCATTCTTAACAATTCAACCTGAACATTATTAGAGACTGTATTTAAAATAGTCTTCTTATCATATCTAGGAATCCTTAGTAAAACTGTGCTTTCTTTGTTACTTCTTAAATCAAAGTTCAGGAGGCTATCTGCATAAAAAAATAAATTCTATGTTGTTAATGAATTGTCTTTTGTGTGAGCCCAGCACTTTGCTACTTCTGCTCTTATAAAAACCATTAGTATCCAAGGGTAGCAGCTATAGGAGATCCCACAATACTTTGTTTGAAATAACCAAAGGTCTAGATGATTTTTTACCACTTTACAATTCAAGTCAGCCAAAGATTAGATCTTTACATATTCATAAAGAAACTATTCCCACCCTCCTTTCTATCAGCAAAAAATCAGGATTGCTTACAAGACTTAACTCCCAGAAAATTCCATACCCAGGAAGAGGTAGAATTTCAACAGCTGACATCAAGAAGTAAACTCATTTCTAGGTAGGTGGTCTCTCCAAGCACAACCTTTTGTGGATTCCTAACAATGGACTGTTTTCTTTTTCTAACCCTGTGAAAAGTGGCAAGCTGATAATCTGTCCCTCAATGAAGCCTTTGTAAAATTATGTCATGACTGAGCATAGAAACCAAATGTTGCATCGATATATTTAGGTGATATGAGCATTAGTGCAGTAATACTAATTATAGTAACTGTGTACTAGTTCTGCTTCTGTACAATGACAGATTTGTCACCAGAATTCCAGCAGCTCTTGTTCTATACTGTAAGGTTGTTTATATAATATCTCATACTGCCTTTCACTGCAGCTTTTATGACACAGTACATAGAAAACAAAAATATATGTACAGAGGTTGGTCATTTCTGACCTGAAAAAAATATGTTAATGTGCTCTCCATATTGTTCAATACGGAGAGGGGAGAGGGTATCTATCCCTAGATGCAGGATTTTTTATATATATATTTTAAGTTCATTGTTATCTTAGATTTTAGATCACATCCATGAGTTTTCTCCAGTTTGCCACACAAAGATTAGCAGTATTTAAAACCCCAAACACAATTGCAATGAGCTAATCTCAAGTGAATTTATAAAAAATAATAAAGGCAGAATAAATAAATAAATTGCACATTCACCAGTCTTGCACTAACTGAATTCTGGATCACGTTAAATGCAATGAGGTATCAGTTTACAATTCACAGTATATCAAATATTGCATTATGGGGTTGTTGTGGGGCAGGAGGAGGAAAGTGTGTTGGATATGTTTGCTGCCTTAAGTTATTTGTAAAAATAATAAAATTGGGATAACAAATAAATAAATAAATAAATAAAATTAAGATTGTTCTTGAAGTATGACAGAGATGGAACAAATCAAAAATCATAAGGCAGATACAAAATTTCAAATAAATAATCATAGTACAGAACTGTGGGGAGAAATCAATAAACTTTACTCCAGTATATAATTTAGGATAAATTTGGTATAAAATGTTTTACTGATGGTATATAATTTTGTTAATAATTACCAAGGAAGCCAAATCATATAAATAAATGTTACAAACATCATACAAAGAAGGAAAATGTTATTATACGTGGTGGTTATGTAAAAGAAAACCTCAGAACTACTAAAATAAATATATCAAAAATATTCAAAAAATCCTAAAAATGAATTTAAAACTGAAACTTCAAATATTTTATTGGGTATCCTCCCAGAAAACATAAATGAAAAATATCACAATTTATTAAGACATACTGTATACTTACAGAATAAAGAATAAATTTGACACACTATCGAAAAAAAGGAACTTTGCTGACCTTATGAGATTTGGAGATCAGCATTAGAAAATAGGTATCAATTACAAAATTGACTGTGCGTATCTATTAAACAAATCTAACCAAATTTAAATAAAATGGCCTTCTTATATATTATACATAATACATTTGAAATATGGTTTCTAGAAAATAAATCATCAGACTAATGAAAACTAATAGACAAAGGAGCTTAAATAAATACTAGCAATGATATTCAGGTTCTATGTAAAATATAAATATGTAGGTTATGGCTGGAGGGTGAGGAAACAAACAGAAAAGAGAAGGAAGGAAGGAAGGAAGGAAGGAAGGAAGGAAGGAAGGAAGGAAGGAAGGAAGGAAGGAAGGAAGGAAGGAAGGAAGGTTGGTTCTTGGTTCACATTTTGCAGACTGAATCAAAAGCCTATTATATCTATTTGACTGGAGTAAAACAAAGGATATACATCAGCATGTTATGGATTGCATGACAGTTTGCCTGCCACAAATAAAACAAAACAAAATGTGCAGGTTATCCAAAAACCCATGCTAATAACATAGGATGCTAAATATGTCACAAATCCCTTGGGATCCTGAAGAAGTTTCCACGGGCCTTTGAAAAAGTTTGTGGCAGCAAAGGAAAACATTAGAGAATGATGTTTGTTCTTACTAGATATTTGTAAAAAAATATAAACAGTTTGCACTAAACATGCTATGAATTGATATCATTACACAATTTTCACTGTTTAGAAAAGAGAAGAAAGTAATTATAATGGTGCCAAGATTGTATGTGTTCTCGCATGTAATGAATCAGACTTTAAAAGCTATGTTCACTGTGCACAGGTTAAAGAGATAAGAATTTAATTCATTTTGACACACTGGGAGTTAATAGAATGCAAATGTGTTTAATTCCAATTTAATCAGACTATTTCAGTCATTTATTTATTATGCTTCCAAAGTTTTTTTTATGTGTCCCTAACATTCTTTACTATGTGGCTTTTTTTATGTAGCTTCAAAAAAACTGCCATATGACTGCAGTGCAGACCTTGGCATTTCACAGTTGCCAGGCCACATCTGGCACTTTGGTTATTCCTGTCTGGCATTGTAAGGTCAATCATAGATTAAATAGCGCTTTGCTGCCAGAAGTACCAATAAGAGAGAAGTTAACTGCCTTGGCAAGCCCAGTCAGTAGGTCCCTCTTGCACTTGGAAGGCGGGTGGACCTGCCCTTCCACATGCCACCAGAGGTGCAATACACTAGTCTCTCCGAAGGCCAAGGGAGATCCAGTAGATCGGTCCCTCCTACACCATGCAAGCAATAGAACTACATCACTTTTATTTTGAAGGTGACCACTATTCTTTTTCAATGTATGCATGTGCGTATAAATTCTCTACTCTGATTATTTGGTCCTCCACAACAGTCCCAGTTTCATATGTGGCGCTTTGGAAAAATTAATTGCCCACCCTGTTGCAGTGCACATGTGATTTCTACTATGAAAGGATGAGAGATTTTAGTAGGGGCAGAGAATATAAAATTCTTTAGCTGTTTTATTAACCTGAAATAATGATCACTCTGAATTTAAGACAATAAGGAAGAACAAATAAGGAAAAATATATAAACAATATACAATGTCTAGCTTTCTAATTTTGTCATCCTAAAAATCCTCCCTAGAAATTTGAGCACATGACACATTTTTTTATTTATACATATATGCAACACTCCCAAAAGGCAGGGTCATAAGAGTAAATATTTTTCAAAACATATTTAATTAAATATTTAAAAGTTTTAATTAAAAACTTTTTATTAAATTGATAATGACTGATCAAAATATGGGGAGATTATATATAAAGATACACCATGCTGTGCCCACCATGCTCTGAACACTTTTAAGAAGAGATTGGACAACCATTTGTCTGAAATGGTATAGGACTTCCTGCTTGAGCAGGGAGTTGGACTAGAAGACCTCCAAGGTCCCTTCCAACTCTGTTCTCTTTTTCTATTAAATGCATCTGAAATCAGTTTACAATAAAACATTTAAATACAATAATAAAAATACACAAAATTATTGTGCAAATGTTAGGGGAAGAAAAACAAAAATAAAACAGAATGGTTCATAGGTTTTCAAATAATTCTTAAAAACTATAAGAGTCAACTTCTGGGGGAGAAATGGTGAACTAAAAATGGTTCTGCGAAAGCAAACCAACAACCATGGCAAGGACCAAGAAATTAGTGGGTAGACCAGTTTTTTGAAATGTCTTCTGAGATCATCTGGATATGCTCCAGACAACTACCTCACGTGAGATCACAGGATAATGGTTTTCCATTGGTTTGAGCACCAGGAGACAGATCAGCCATCTTGCTGGCAACCATGCAGAACCTTTTAAAGGACAGCAAGTTCACTAACCTTACTTTCTAAACATTTTTGGAAATTGCTCATTAACTATTTCTAAGCTATTAAAGACTTTCAGAACAAGTTTAACATTCTTCATTGGGTGAGTTTTTCACTCTAAATAAACTGTTCTATGGATAGACTATGTCCAAAAGATGTCATTGGAGAAATGACAGGTGTAGAACAAATATTACAGTATGTGACAAGATAAAGATAGTGTCAAAAGTAGATTTAAACTGATAGGCCAAGATAATGACTTGGAAGAGGATGTTTCACTGGCTCAGCAACAGAAATTAAAATTCTAAAGAGAAATACAAATGATAAACCAAGAGAGCAAACTGGACAATTTTTTCCTATTGGATTTACAACAAGAAGCTTGTCAAAGCCTTGAAAAAAACCTCTGCAGTGGGACAAAGAAGAAATGAAGAGAAATCAGATTCTATAGCAATATTTGAATCTATCTCATTCAATTTCTGTCAGAGTTCGTGAGATATTTCCTATGAATGTTTCTTTAATGGTGTTAATCAAAAGTATTTTGTCTTTAAAACATCTAGTACATCAAATCTAAACATGAAACTGTACAAACCTCTCTTCAGATGTCCCCCTTCAGGCCCCCTAAATCTTCAAATACAATAAAAGGGAACCAGGTTCAGAGAAAAATAAATATCACAGCAGGAAGACAAGTGTAAGAGCTTCAGGACAAATTCTTATGGGAAGACAGCCAATAAGAATGAGATCTTGAAGTCAAGCTCGCCTATGCAGTAAGATTCATCATACATGTTTTAATTAATCATTGAACATTAGGTATTTGCAAAATTTTCAAGCTTAAAATGAGACTTTAGACTCTTTCACTGAGCCTTGAGGTATCCAATTAAAGAACAATCTTATATCTTTAAAGAAACTTTGTTGCATATTACTTGTGTTAGATGTAGACTATTTAAGATAAATAGTTGAATTCATACTTTGTGTAACATCTAAATATGCAATAGTTGTGTAACTTTTTATTTTTTATTTAATTTATTTACATCCCATCATTATTATACTACTTCTTTATCATTTTTATAAATAACTCAAGGGGGTGAAGATATTTAACAATCCTTTGTCTTCCTATTTTCCCCATAACACAATACATCTCTATGTTCAATCAGTATTCAAAATTGCAAACTACCAAGCTACTTGGCTAGGTAATATCAATAGAATAGTTGAATATAGACAAGTGAAAATAAGATTTCACTTTATGTTACAGAAGAAAAGGGTGAAGAAGAGAGTGTCTTAATTCCCATACAACAGTGACTACATCTGTAGAGTCACACCAACTGAATTCATTACATCTGGAAATCATATACTGTATTTCTAACTTGCCTTGTTATCCTTTTCATAAATCTCTTGCTCTCCTCCCTTTGGAGAGAACAAAATAAACTGGGAAAAGTATTCTAAACCCTTCTCATCTCTTATGGCAGGTACACTAATTGTGAACATAGCTAGAGCAGGAGACCTCATGATGATGACTCATATGTTCATGACTGCATACTTGAACTATTGCAATATACTCTACATGAGCTGCCTTTGAAGAGTAGATAGAAACTACAATTGGTACAAAATGTTGGTTGTCATATATTGACCAAAGCATGTTACATAGGATTGAATTGGCTTCCTATCAGCTTTGGCTGCCATTCAGTGCTGATTTTAATCTTTGAAAATCATAACAAGCCTCATTGCCAATTCTTACAAGAAAGAATTCTCATTCTTCTTCTTTTCTGATTAATATCTAAGAGAGCCTTCCCTGACCTAGTTCCTTCAAATCAGTTGGGACTTTGACTCTCATAAATCTTATCCCAAGTGGCATTCTTGGGGAGCTGTTGTTCGTAGTACTTGGGAAAAGATTGATCTAAGCTCTTAAAGATTTGTAACATTAGAATGTCTATTTAGTTTTTTGTTTTATTTGTAGATACGGGTGGAGATCTTGTTTTCTCAAAGAAGGCAGTATGAAACATTAAAAGCATATTTACCCAGACACAAATATATGCATGCACACAAACATAGAGACACTTGGGGGGAGAGAGAGAGGGGGGAGGGAGGGAGGGAGGAAGAGAAAGAGAGAATGAGAATTTCAATGAAAAGAAGAACAGAAGGTCAATGGGCTGTAAGCAGTGTAGATGTAATTTCCCAAAGATGCTTTTTCATGAGGCTGAAGAAGCTTCTTGGATGAGAAGCAAAATATCTTCAAAGAAAAACAAGAAAGTCCAGTTGCCTTGTGAAAAAGCATCTTTGGGACAACTATGACCTGGATGACTGAGAATCTCCATAGACATGTAGATGCAATGATGTCAATTGCCTAGGCTCAACAAATCGCTAAGAGGAAGAGATGTTCAATGTGTGGTTCAGTATTTAAAATTTCCCTAATGATCAATGTTTTCAACCAAGTTGAACTAGTCATAATACAATCCCAAGAGATAATTCATTAATTCATGTTTGCCATCTACATACTTGGCCACTGAATTCAATAAAGAAAAAAATGCATTCAAACTAAATAATATATATAGAGCCCCAGAGCAAAATTTTCTACCATATCCTTGGTAGAATATCCCAATTTAAAACCTACTTGTCTGAGAGCCAAATATTCTCTGAATACACTTCAATTTCATCAACATACTGGCTGGGGAATTATGGGAGTTGAAATCCACACATTTTAAACTTACCAAGATTGAAAAACACTGGTATAAATATTGGGCATAAAGTTTACTAATTATTGACAGCAAGCTAACTGGACAATAGTTAGCTTGGATTTGCCTAACATATTCTTTATATATATTTGGAGAAAGTCAGAATTAAGACACTTTGGGGTCTACAATGAGTTATTAATAGCATTCATGGCTATTAATGGCAGTAAACAGAGAGGCTTACACAGAAGCTCACCAATCAGGATTTACTTTCAGTAACTCTGGCAAAATCATATATTTACTTCAGGAGCTTTGCCACTTTTCAAATCAGAAATTAGTTTTTATATTTAGATCAATTTATTAGAATGATAGACTAATACGATCAGAGTGTTCTGTGAATGAATGAATGAATGAATGAATGAATGAGTATTGTATTTTAATAGTGATAAACAAAATAAAGTTTAAGACAGAGTTAAATATACATATTTATAAAGCAACCTAATGTTTTGGATTTCTGATTGTGAAATGGTGGGCCAACCAGTGTGGATGAGGATCAGAGATAGGGAGGCCAAGATAATCAGCACAGAAAGAAGAACTGAATAAGCTGCTGAAGTATCTGTAAAGAGATGAAATCATTGCCCCTCTATAGGTAGGTTTATCTGAAGATAGAGAAACAGTCATCCTTATTAGTAACTACTTGTTAGAGTTTATATCGTTAATGAATAGTTTTGCTTTTTCTCTGCCAGAAGCTTTTTACACTTCTTTTTTTAGTAAATGAAAAATTTCACAAGAGGGAGAATCACGATGGAACTAAGCTGAAATTACCACAGCCTTGCCTTGAACAGCCCTTATCGAACCAAAGTTTAGAATGCTTATTAGAGTGATAGCAGGAATGGAGTTTGATTAGACTTTAAACAATCCTGAACTAAACCAGTAATTTTTTGAAAAGTGACAAATGTTTCTTGAATCTCACTGGCTGTGGTAATAATCCATTTCAAATAGTTGACCTGCATTTATTCAAGAACTTGCCTGCCGCAGTTAATAGTTACTGAACCATACAGATCAACCATACTTCTCTAACTTTTAAGATATTCACCAAAGGACTATCAACAGACAAAGAAATGATCTGAAAAATTATATTGATGCAAGATACTCTGACAGGAAAGGATGGGTGCTTGAAATGAAATTCTGCCCACTCACCCCAGGCCCTCAGATTCTAAGGAAGTCATCAAAACACACAGAAGTGAGATCAAAGAGAAAGCATCAGGCCAATAAACTTAATGGTTACTTTAGAAATAAAATTGAAACTTTCCCTGGAGCAAATGTAACTATGTAAATTAAATGCAATATTTCATTTCCCATCTGATGAAACTAAAGCCCAAAATAACAAATTCTCAGCAAGGTTGGTGCACAGAAAATTTTGCAGGCTCAGCATCCTTTTGAAATATACAGTTTTAGAAACTCATCTGTGCTGTTGTTCTTGCCACTGCCACTTTTCAGTTTCAAGTCAACTCTGAAATACACATTGAATTTATTTCCATTATCAGACTACAAATAGTAAGGCAAAACTAGGCTTGTGAATTCCAATGATCATTTTTCACACAATGCTGCTAGGTTGGGGCAGCTTAAAAGATTTAAATGGCAGGTTGTATGCTTGAGAGTTTACCAACAGCAACAACAACAACAACAACAAAAGAGATGGCAAGTAACAATTTGTTAAAAGGTTCATTCAAATCAGAATGAATCTTCCTTTGTAGGAAAATTCCCTTTTGTGTTTCAGCTTGGCAATTTTCAATAAAGGCTCTTAGAAAGAAGGTTCCTTCTTCTCCAGCATGATTGGATGGAGAACCCACGGATGGGTTGTCTTAATCTATCTGCTCCAATTAGACTAAGTCTGAAATTTAGTAATGCCCCCTCTGTGCCAAATGCACCCCAGTTTTAGACTTAGTCTCTTTGCTCTAAGACACGTTTTTTTCTTCGCTCCTGGAGCAGAAGACTGCATTTCCATTTATTTCCTTAGCTCAGACTATTTAATTTATTATTAGAATTGACTATATATAAGAAATTTTTTCCAAGGATCATCATCCCCAGTCTGTAGCCTAAGCAGGCTGACAGACTCACAGACCTCTCCCTCTGGGGGGGGGAACTTTCCCCCTTGTTTTTCATTTTTCCTTTTCAGCCTTAAGGAAATCAAGCCCAAAATCAAATTCCCAGGGGACCTTAGATCTCCTACCAGGTGCTGTTCTTCGGCTTCAAGGGCTCCGTTTTTTTGCCAAACGCTGCTCCGACGAACTCCCAGCTGCCAGCTGATCGTCGGAGGTCGCAGATTCCACACGCTGACTGCCGATGCCTCCGGAAGCAGCAGACTGCCCCAAGCAGCAGGTGAGAGTTTGGGCGCCGACCCAATTTTCGGAGCCTGGAAGGCCTATCAGGCCTCGAACTGCCTCAGCGTTTCCCAGCTGGCCTATTTACCTGCCATCCGCTGCATTAGGAGCCCAGGCGATTCATCCGAACGAGGGTTCGTTGCAGCTTAGGCCTCAGGCCTCAAGGCCTTTTTCTAACGGCCGTTTTTTTGGCGCGAATTTGGTGGCCGCCATTTTGAATTGACTCTCAGTGGCCATTTTGTGTGTGGCTGAGGCCCAGAGTTCACTGCCTGGAGTTCACTCCTGAAGGCAGTGTATGATCACCAGTGGCAGAGGCCTCGAATTTACCAGCATCATCTCCAGGGGAGGGCCAGCTCGCTCCCAAGGGACGCAGTGCCCACCAATTCCCTGCCCATCCTCCTCACGGGCCGAATCATCTCTGCAGGCTCCCTTGGTGAGTTACAGCGCCGAGGGGGGGCGTTTCGCCAAGGTTGAGCCCAGAGCAGACTCATCATGGCAGAGAAAACCGGCGAGCCGGCCAAGAGGAAACGTCAAACAGAGGCAAGTGGAAAGAACACCACCAAGCGAGCCCGGCTAAGCAGGGAGCCACAGAGGGAGGAGGAGTCCCAAAGACTGAGAGCAGCCTACCCAGATCTGACAGGCACGATGGGAAGGTCTATTTTTG